TAAAGAAAAGAGGTGGAAATGACGGTACCATCAACCAAGCTGTCTGTACACAAGAAATCTGTCAATTGTTACATAAGGAAAATACACATTTTAATGAAGAGGTATTTTCCACAATTAAAACTACATTCTATCCTTAAAAAGGAGCCCTGGTGGCACGGTGGTTAAGAACTCAGGCTGCTAACCAAAAAGGTCAGCAGTATGAATCCTTAAGAGGGTGAGACCTCAAGAGAACACCTTATCCTACCTAGTACAGGGTATTATAACTTCCAGGAGCTCAGAAGATCAGAGATAAAAGGAGCAGATACTTAAAACAGAAATGTGTTTACAATGAAATTATCCAAAAATGCAAGGGCTAAGCCAGCAAATGTCATTAATCATTCTTTTGTGGCAGAACAGCCCCCAAATTCATACTGACCCTGTAAAAACTTAAGAGTTTAAGCACCAAGAAAGTACTCGGTAGAAATTGTTTTGTAGAAAATAAAAACTAAGCCGATATCCTACTAGCATTCTATAGCAATATATTTCAAATAGAAATTGCTCTTCTGCTTTTGCTGATTATAAAAACCTTTAATATTACAGAAAGCTAAATTAGCATTCCCACAGTAAGTTACATTTATACAGAATTTTAGAATTCATAGGTAACCTTTGTAGTACACCACGAAAGGCTATTGTCAACTGTCTGCTTATAATAATGCCAATACTATTTCCATTTGTGACAAATAAAAAGAATTTAAGTATGTTAGCACAGAATCCGGCCTGTCAACTTTCCAATCCCATCTTTCACCATTTTCTCACTAAAACCCTATGTTATAACCAATTATTTAATGTTGCCAAAACCCACTATTACTCTGTACATCTCTGCACCTTTGCGCACCTATTACATTTCCCTAGAACAGAATACTTCTCTTTCTTCATATAACTAACTGCTCTTAGAGACCTGACTCCACTTTATCGTCACCTCTTCTAGGAAGCTGGTCATGACCACAACACTGTCCTCTACAACTCCAGTCTAGATCAGCTCCTACAACTCTGTACTCTTCGGTACATTGTTGTTAGCTGCTGTGGAGTCGGCCCCTGACTCATGGAGACCGCACGCCCAAGAGAAGGAAACGCTAACTGGTCCTGCACATGATCAGCTGCAGATCTGCCTATTGTGATCCATCGGGTTTTCACTGGCTGACTGTCAGAAATCTCTAGTATATAGTGTATCTGTGATATTCATGG